AAAAAAAAAAAAAAAAGAGGTCTATTTCCCACCTATATGGTGTGACTTAACACTTCTAGGCTAGCAAACTACCAGAAGATAGAATTCTGACTATTAATTTGTTTTTCAAGACAGGGTTTCTCTGTGTAGCCCTGGCTGTCCTGGAACTCGCTCTGTAGACCAGGCTGGCCTCAAACTCATAGAGATCAACCTGTTTCTGCCTCCCAAGTGCAGGGATTAAAGATATGCACCATCACTGCCTGACTGAACTGTAGCTCTTTAAAACAAAAACATATGTCGGCCCCCTTTATGCAACCATGTCAAGTTGCTGGCCCCACTTGCAGGTACAGCAGCCTTTTCCAAAGATCGTGAAACGTGATCCCGACTCCTACGCCTCATCTTCCCCAGGCCTACTGGGGGGGAAATAAACAGATACTTCCTGAGTGGGTCCTGAAGATGGGTACTTTTCTGTTTGTTCTTTTTAACCTGTGTGTCTGTATGTGAAAGTACGCAAATATCTGGGTATGATGCAGGAGTGCTTGGCACACACTTGTAGGGCAAAGAGGACAGGCTCAGGCTTGTCCTTGCCTTCCACATTGTTTGAGGCAGGGTCTCTTTGTTGCTTACTGTTGTCTGCTCCAGCTGGCCAGAGAGCTTCTGTTCCCTGTTGCCTCATAGGAGCACTGACCCCACAAACATGCTCTAGTGTCTGCCTTTATACGGGTTCTGGGGGTTCAACTCAGATCCTCGTGATTGCACAGCAAATATCTCACCCACTTAGCCATCTCCCCAGCCCTTTTATAAATTCTCTCAGTGAGTCATACGCCCATGATGATTTAGGACTCTGTCCACTTGTTTTCCGATCATCTTTAGTCGGTTACTATGCAACCAAGAGACTAATATATAAAAGTTGTCATTGTCTCTAGGACTTGCAGTCATAACAAGAGGGGAAAAAAGTGAGTACCAACCTCAGAGGAGGCTGATGGAGAGGTGAAAGGTTGGAGGAAGGCCGATGGGTGGAGGTTGATGGGGTGGGCAGGACTCATGGGGTGGGAAGAGGTTAATGGTGGGGCTCACCATGCTCTGGAAAAAGCTAACAATGGATGAAGCCCTGGTGGACTAGAGATCTGTAGCCCTTCAAATACTCTGCATATCTATAGGGAAGATCAACCAGTCACTCTTCGTGCCTGCTCCTTCTGAGGAATTCAGTAAGGCCTTTCCTAAATCACCCAGTTCCTGTGTGCCATGATCTGTATTTCAGGGGAGCCCTGCCCAGAGGATGGGAGGAGTCCAGGCTCTGTGTCAACCCACCACAGCTCTCCCCGCAGTGACTACGCAACCTACGCCAACAGCAACCACGCCGCCCCCAGTAGCAATGCCTCTCCGCCTGAAGGCTTTGCCTCACACAGCCTGCAGACCAGTGATGTGGTCATTCACCGCAAAGAGAATGAAGGGTTCGGCTTCGTCATCATCAGCTCCCTCAACAGGCCTGAGTCTGGAGCCACCATAAGTAAGTGACTGGCTTGTCTATGTTCAGATAAAGAAGTCTTATAGTTGTTTGTTCTAATGATAGTAATAACAGAAGAAGAGATCAGAGAAAGGCTGTAGATATACTATGTGGCCTAGATGTCCCAGGCTATGAGCACAAAGAAACATAAACCACCCTTTGTA